AAACATGCCTCCAGGTGAAAGACTGAATTTTATCCCTCGTATTAGTTTCCCTGGGCTGCTAAAACCAACACTGCACGCTGGGTGGCTTCAAGACCAGAAGTTCATCTTCTCACCATTTGGGAGGCTGAAGTCCAAGAGGAAAGTGTCAGCAGGGTTGCTTCTCCTGAGGCCTCTCTCCCTGGTTTGCAGATGGCTTCTTCTCTGTGTGCTCACAGTGTTCCCCCTGTGTGCGCGCATCCCTGCTGTCTCTTGTGTGTGTCCACATATCCTCTCCTGATAACAACATCAATCAGATTAGACTATGGCCCCACCCTTATGACCTCATTTGACCTTAATTACCTTTTTAAAGGCCCTGTCTCCAAATACAGTCACATTAGGGGTTAGGGCATCAACCTACGAGTCTGGGGGGACACAATTCAGTCCATGACATACCTAACATTATGATACAAAGTATAAGACCAGATATGGAAACCTAGATAGAGAGAAAGAAAAAAAGAAGGAAAGAAGGAAGGAGGGAGGAGGGAAGAAAGGAGGAAAGAGGAAGGAAGGAAGGAAGGAAGGAAAGAAGGGAAGGAGGGAGAAAAAAAACCCAGAAAGCTGTCCAGTTCTAACTAAAAAGAATAATTGCTTAGCAAATACATTTTTTTAACTACTTCTCTCTCTCAATTTGTTTCTTTTATCAATTTCGAATTTAGAATCTAGTGTCCAGTCTCATACCTGTATTTGATTTCATGTGCTTATACCATCATTTGGTGAAAACAAAGTCTATTCCTGGCAGTTGATCTTTCTTACCCCTGGGCTGACTCATTTATTCCATTCCTTCTAGGGCTCTTAGGTCTGACTCCTGGTGTGAAGGAATATTCCTCAGGGCCCGTTAACGTCTTCTCCACTATGGCAACCAGCTTGCCTTTACCTGAACCTGACTTCGCTCAGACAGTCCCAGGTTAAACCATGCCATCGTCATCCACCTGCATCACCTGGGGATTGAATTCACCTACATATAAAAGAAAATACAAATGACAGTGTTTAAACAAGACAGGTTATTTTCTCCCCCCATCCTAAAGAGCCTGGGGGAGGCAGGGAGCCCCAGGTGTCGCCTTCCTGCTTCTTACCAGCTTCACATCTCTGTGTCTCTCCATTGCACTGCCCCTGTTAGAAACCTTCCTCAGCCTGAGACATTTGCTTGCACCCTCCTCCACATTCCTATCAGCGATCTTTAGAAAACTAAATCTAATCTTCCACTCCCTATGAGAAAAGCACTCTTGATGGTTCTCTATTGTTGTAGGATAAGGTCAAATGTCCTGGAATCTAGTCCGCAACCACCTTATCAGTCCCATCTCCTGACACCTCTTTGCAGAACCTTTTTCTCCTGACTTCTCACTGTTCTCTAAGCAAACCTTGATAGCCCTGGGTGTTTGATATATTAATCCCCCCTTCCTTATCAGTTCTAAATCAGTTGAGAAAGAGAAATTGCAGTCAGCAATGAATTAAAATATCAACTTTTGGGGCCGGCCTGGTAGCCCAGTAGTTAAGTGTGCACGTTCCACTTCGGCGGCCCAGGGTTCACCGGTTTGAATCCCAGGTGCAGACATGGCACCGCTTGGCAAGCCATGCTGTGATAGGCGTCCTACATATTAGAAAAAAAGTAGAGGAATATGGGCATGGATGTTAGCTCAGGGCCAGTCTTCCTCAGCAAAAAGAGAAGGATTGGCAGATCTTAGCTCAGGGCTAGTCTTCCTCAAAAAAAAAAGAAAAAAAAAAATACCAACTTTTTTGTTTTGGGTTTTTTTCCCCTAGAAAAGCTGGATTGGACATACAACCCAAATCCAGAGTATCTCCCTACTCTTGACCTAAGTCTAGATGTTAGGACTTAAATGAGGGGAAGTCAAATCTACAAAGCAAACCATAACTCAGCATGTCAGCTGAATTTGGTTCAGCTGAACAGAACTGAAAACCCTAATATTACAGTGTCTTAAATCACAAAGAAGTAGGCATTCGGACGGAGCTGGTATAAAACTCCCCAGTGTCATCAGGGACCCATGCTCTTAAATATTTATTTTCTATTATGTTTAGCCCTTGGCTTCCATGCTTAGGTTAAACACATGGTCCAAGATAGTTACTGGGGCTCCCCCTATTTCTTCTACATTCCAGGCAGCAGGAAAGAGGGTTGTAAGGACCCTTCCCAGAAGTCCCATCCACATATCATTGGCTAGAACTTTGTACATAGCTAACACTTAACTTCAAGAAAGGCTAGGAAATATAGTCTTATCCTGAGCAATAACATGCCCACGCCCAAAATGGTATTCCGGTACCGCGGATGAAGAAAAGGATGGATGTGTTGATGGGTAACTAGTCGTCTGCCACGGTCGGCTAACTGCACTGCTTGGCCTCCCTGCCGGCTTTGAGCTCAGAGGGCCAAGAGCGGGACGCAGGTTTGTCTACCTCACAGCACGGCCGCAGCGGGAGAGGCATCGGAGCGAGCCACGAAGGGCCCGAGCGCTGTCTTCCAGAACCCTCTCCGATGGGGAGGGCCAAGCGCAGGTCTAAGAGGGAGCAGATTCCCGGGACGATAGGGAACGTGAGGACGGGAGCAGGGTTCGGGGGCTGCCTGGCCAGCTCTCCCAAAGGCCGGCTCCCCCTCGGGCTCCACACTTGTGTCACCTTTCCTCGGGCACCTTCCCTGACCCGCCTTCGCCCAGCCGCCCTGTGTCCTTCCACGTCAGCGAGTCCAGACCAGAGGACCCCGCCGCTCCCACGCCCTCGGAACCCCCTCTCTGTGCCGCTTCTCTGGGTCGCTAAGCTGTGCGGCGGGGCCCCCGGCCCCCTCGTCCGCGGGCCAGCCGCTCCTGTGGTGCCTGCGCTCCGGAGGCGCTGGAGTGCTTCCCGGATGCGCGCCGGCCTTCTCTCCCTGCGGGGGCCGAGGAGCCCGGGATGGGGAGAAGCTGAATGGCTTCGAGAATAACGAAGGCGGCGGGCATCCGCGAGCAGTAACCCGCGCTGCGTGCCAAGCGCTTGCCTGCGTGTCATGAGGATGACGCCCCTGGACTCCTGTGAGCCCGGCGAGGCGCGCCCCGTTATCCCTGGTTCGCCCTCAGGGGACCGGGCCAAGGGCGCAGCACGAGGGGGCAAGGCTGGGGTTTGCACCGGGCCTGTTCTCACATCGGTCCTGGGCCAGCGCGGCGTGGGCGGCCCCAGGTCTTCTGAGTCTGTGCCTGACCCCAGGGTGCTAGAATGTGATGCCCTCACACGCCCTGCTGTTGTTAGGCGGTAGGCCTTTACCAGCGCTCGACAAGGCAGCCCTCGTATGGGCGGACGTGTCTTCGCGCGGCATTTTCCCAGCAACGATGCTGCACATGTGCTCACGCCCGTCCTCAGGCCCCTGCCCAGGTCTCCAAGAATACGGACAAGCGACAGTTGGGAGGACAATCAGTGTGTCACCTGCGAGTCTAAGACATGCTGGAATTTCCCCGTTAATGCTCATCAGAAAAGGCTACCCACCCCCACCTCCACCCTCCAGGACGCCACCATTCAGCATCTGGCTCTTGGCAAGTTCAAAGCCAGTGAAAAGACTGAGGAGCAGGCTTCCTCTAACTCTTATTATATCAGGAAAGGGGAGACTCTCGTACCTGGGGGCTGGTTGGTTTGGTTCCGAAGGAGAAACGGACAGCCTGTGAGTGGGAGCCGGAGAAACGCAGTGTCCGTCACTCCTTCAAGGGGACATGCCTGGCTTCCCTTAATTCAACGCTCTTGACGGAAAACTGCGCGTTCATCACACAAGACTTCTTCCCAAATGGCTAGCCACACTTCTGCAGTTATCCGAGAAAGAAAATGAGAGGGTGTGCTGTCAATATTCCCCCTGTGGCAAGGACTTCTGATCCTTGCTGTCCTGAAGCAGAGGCTTCTCAGAGTCCTTCCCTCCTGGCTGTGGGCATCCCCTGTGTGCTTGTCAAATCCGTCTGATGAGAGCGTTGTCCCTTGGACGTCCTGCTATGCCTGGGCTTTACTCAGTAGTGAGGGTGGCCTTATGGGATCTAACAAGTGGAGGGAAATTGAATGAGGAAGACCAGCCAGGATGCCATGGTGATGGTCATCGTCCAGGATCCAGTCACTTAACTGTATGTGAAAAAGGGGGCTTAGGCCTGTTTGCTATAGTGTTTTTAAACACAGAAATACATATTATATGGCAACCCAATACACCCGTGTAAACACACACACACACACGTGCGCACAATGGGTCACACCTTGAAGTGGTGGCTGAAGCCATGTATGGTGGTTACAGCACGAGCTGTAGAGTCGGACCTGCCGACAAGCACTGCTCTCCCCTCTGAACCCCTGAAAAGAATTTTGCCAAACTACATACCCCACCACACATCTAAATTTGTCATCTAAATGTTTTTCTCCCCAAATTTAAATACTTGCAAAGACTGTAATTTCCAGTTTGTTGTAAATATGCTCTAAATATATTTTTGTCAAAATGTGGAGCTGCCGATTTAAGCTCAAATATGTGGAAAACGTCCATTATATAACCTAATTGCCAAAGCCATTCCTCACTGCGGAGCCATCAAGCTAATCAGACTTCACTCCCCATTGGAAAGGAAGTCAGTCTTCATCCTGCAGTTCACGTCAGCATAGAGCACCGCCTCCCACCCTGACAGCCGTCCAGCTTCTGACCCTCATTTGGAAATGCGGAGATGGGTGGATGTGGGAGGGCAGCGCCCGCCACGGCTCTGTGCCAGGTTGAAGTAACACACTGTTCCCGAGAGACTCCCCTTAGGAGCGAGGCTTTCTCAAATTGTCCCTTGATTTGGCACCTGAGAGTTTTTATCTTTAAGTATGTTTATCTTTAAGTATTACCTTGATGGCCTTTATGATCCCAAATTCAGTTCAAGTTAGCCCCCTTGAACAAATGAATGGAAACCACAGGAAAAGACAAGTTCCTAACCAGACCTCTCTTGAGGTATTCTCCGAAATCGAACATCACACCTTGTTTTTCATTCCAGGCACCGGCTTTCAGGCCTCAGGATACAATTTCAACACCTACGAGTGGAGGGGTTCAAAACAGAGAGGCAGCTTGTCCCCAGTCACTAAGCCGCGGAGCCAGACTTACCCAGATGTGGGGCTGAGCAGCGAAGAGTGGGACCGGTCCACGGTCAGCGGGTAAGGCTCTTATCGCCTGCGGCCCCATACCAGGTGCTTCGCGGACACCGGGCCAGATGTGAGCTTCCCTGTGACCCTACATATTGCTGCCGCTGGCTTCCTGGGACTGGGTAATCGCCGTGCTGGCCCCTCGGCCGGACTCTGAGGTTGTGCCTGCCCAGCGGGAGCCAGCACCACCACACAACAGGGCAGGAGCGACGTTTCCCCAGTGAAAACAACAGCGGCACGTGGGGAAAACCTACGTGTATAAACCCTGCCCTCACCCTGTAATTAGTTCCCTCTCCTTTCCTTTAAAGGTAGTTTCACATTAACCTACATTAAAAAAAAAGATATGGCTAGGGTCCCCTGTTTTTAACTAGGAGATATATTTTAGCATTTTGTCCCTTACCAAGCTTATTAAGGAAATTCATAAAAAGTGACAGCACTTAATTATCTCTACTGATGTTTATAATAAGTGGGGAAAACACATTTTTCTCTCTTAGAGAAAAGTGATTTCTTTTTTCCTAGAGACAGAGCAGCTGAAAAATATCCCCACCCGGGGCCGTGTGAAAGCAGCTCCATGCGCAGTAGCCAGGAGGACTCTGACAGTCAGTCAGTAAGACCACGTCCTTCCTCTTAGTCTTGGAGGTGCTTCAGGTTTCCTATAGTGTCCTTACACTGGAGCTGTCCTTACTTGGAGGCCACAGCTGGAAGAAAGATCCAAAAAGTGTTTCCATCCTTTGTGTGAGATGAAGGAGAGAGATTCTGGATACAGAAAAAAATCAGTTGTGTCTGGCAAGTTCTTAACCCAGACTGTGGCTTTTGACGCCAGTTTTACAGGGGCTCCCGACGGCACCGAGGCCGAGCAAGAGGAGAACTTCTGGTCTCAAGCTCTGGAGGACTTAGAAACCTGCGGGCAGTCGGGAATTCTGCGCGAACTCGAGGTAGCCGCATCCTGCTGCTTACTTCAATTGTTTCTACATTCATTGTTTTTGGTCCTTTTGAGTTTGCATTTATCACACCAGTTCATTTAAAAGCTTTAACCCCTTTCCACAGGAGAAAGCTGACAGGCGTGTGTCTTTGAGAAACATGACACTCTTGGTAGCTACCCTTTCTGTTTCTATTTTTGCTTGTGAAGCTGCCTCCCCGCCCCCTTGCCTTCGGACAGCAATTTGATTTAATACAATGCAGTTGGAAGTATTTATTTCCCCGTCTCCCCCCCCACCCCGAGCTTACTGACTTGTGGCTTCTGCCATCGCTCCCTGCTAACCCTGACTGTACCTGTTTGCCCCTGAATCGCTAAGGAGCCAGCTGAGTCTGCCAGCAGTGGCGCATCTCATTCTCTTAGTTGCTTTAGAAAGGTTTCTTTGGCATGTTTTCATCTGTACCTGGTCTAGAAATTAATTTGGTCGTGAAGAGGAACATAAGAGGAAATTTTATTTCATTTTGTTTTGCCCTTAAGTAGATGGCAATGCATGCAGCTGGTGAAAAAGGCCAGTCTGTGTGATAAGCAGCCAAAATATTACACAATACTTTGCTGTTAATTGCAAATCCTGATGCCAGATTAACTTAGTGTGAATTCGAGGAGTGGTGGCGAGATGGAGATCAGTAGCTGAGCTCCCGGTGAGTTCTTTCATCAAAGCCGTGGATTTGCTGATGGTCTTCACACTTTGGTCTGGGAAGTCCTGGACTGTTTCCTTTTATGTTCTTTTAAATTTTCTGAGCTGTAAAAAAATAAAGTGGCCAAAGTCCCATTTTTATGTTGATGTCATATGAGGTCCCCAGGTCACCATAAGGAATGTGAATGACGTAACTGGGTGAAACTTGCAATTTTAAAATGAACACCCATCTTTCTATTATGTTGCTTCTCGATTGCATGTGTGGATATTTTATGTGATTCTCATGTTTGTGAATCTGCAAAGAGAGTTATAAAGGAAAAAACTAGTTTGAATTTGTAAACAGCATAGTATTACCTGGCATGAATTTCAGCTTCAGAGCACAGTTAAAGGACCTGGAGATGGATAATCCTGTACAATTTAAATTAAGATTTGGCAATTGATTCCTTTTATGCAACTTTCGAAAAGAGTAGAATGCTTAAGTATCAGCTGGCTTATTTAAACTTTTACCACTTCCTGTATGTGGAATGGTCAGCAAAAGAGGCCCAAAATGAATCATAGCTCAGTTTGCAATTCTTGAACATAGTCCTGCTTTTGAAAGCGTGTGTCAGCTCATATGCTTTTTCCATTTACTTTTTGATACTTCTCCTTTGAAGAAGCGGCTATTCTTCTAATAGCTTCTTTTGCATTAGGTAAAATGAAGATGATGTAAAAAGTAATACGATGAGGTTGTGTTTTCACCCAAAAATTGAGTTATTTAATGAAAATAACATCCACCAGCATAGAAGGTATGTTGCAACAGCCCATGAATTTTGTCCAGTGTAGCTTCAGGCAGCCGTGGCCCTGAAATTATGACTCCAGAAAGGAGGTGGGTTGAATTTATAAGCCAAAGAGAAATGAAAGTCCTCCACTAGGAAGAGCGATTGGCTAATCCATTCATTAGAGTCATATTTACACTTTATCACAGAGAATATTCATTTATTAGTTTAAATGAACTCTGATCCCTTGCAAATGCTACTCTGCAAAAAATATTATTGGAGCTAGGTTGCTGCATATGAAATTCACATCAAGTATTAAAAGTTAAAGCATATGATAACCATAATAAATGGAGAAGATTAGCTAAGACAAAAAATGATTACAATTGAAATAAAATGAAACTTATGCTAGTCATTTTCCCCATTGCCAGCAATAATTTAAGTTCAACTTTAGCACTGAAAAATGTATAGATTTAACAAAAAAGAAAAATTCAGAGTAAGACTTTGGACCAGTTACTTAATCTCTCTTATCAGATATTTCTTCTTCCATAAAATATGGCGATTATAATGACTAATGCTTATGTGGCATTTAACACAGAAATGGCATTTAATAAATGTCCAATAGAAATTATTATTTTTGCCATTTTTTTGATTAATGAACACTGCTTTAACTATTTTTTATTGAATATAGTATAAGAAGTTTTAACTAAATGTCAGATAGAGAAACTCTGGAACATACCCTGTCTAAGTTATATGTACATCATATATCTCACTGATAATTTTGAAAAAGAAAATTATAACTGTAAACTATGAATTGTGCAAAGTGAAACAGGCAGTACATGCTATTGAGGCTGAAACAAATTCTAGATAATTTAGAATAATTATTTTTTCACTTTTTATTTCATTTTTATATTTGTTTTAATTTTTACATTCTTTCATAGATGCCACTAATTCAATTGAAGTTCACTTTAACAAAGCAGTCAGGCCATTCTTTGAAAACGTGAACTACAGACCTATTGATAATATATCGTTAGTCCCATCGGAACCCTTTCCAGATTAGTTTGTAACTTCTGTGTGGATAAGGCTTATCAAAGCAGAGCTGTTGTCTCCCCGTTGTGGTGATTAAGTATTTTACTTCCTACCTGTTTCCTGCTGCTCCCATGAAAAATGACTATAAAAAAACAGATGTTAACAAAGCAAATAACTAGTCTAAGCAGGTAAAAACAATCGGTGGATGGTCATCACTGCAAGAAAGCAATCATTACATGCTGTCAGTTACAGCAGATTAAACAAAGAAATGAGCTATGTGGGTGAAGTGCCATAAGGTAAAAGGATGTCCCATGATACCAGCAAAGCTAGTAATTGAAAGGTTTCAATTTAAAAGGGGGATTTATCTGAAATAAACCACAATATAGATAATCCACACTGGTTTAAATGTTAGGGTTTTTCTTTCAATCTACAAAGAGTCAGTTTTATATGTTTCAACCTAATGCTTGACTAAGAAGCAACACGGCCTGGTAGTCAAGAATGAGGATTCTGGAGGCAGATTGCGAGGGGTCGCAATCCCAGACTGCTGAGCGAGCTGCTTGCCTTATCCAGGGCTCCCTGCCCTTAACTGCAGTGGGGAGATATAATTATAATACCTAGAATATGGAGTCACCATAAGGGTTACATGATATTCTGCATACACTTATATATGGTACTTAGCACCTGTTAATGCTCAATGACCAGTAAGTTTTTTTAACAATTATAATTTTCTTTTTCAACATTATCAGTAAGATAACTGATCTAGTCAGGATATTGATGTTTATTTTGTGTTTTTTTCAACAGAGTTGTAGCTATATATACATAGGTGCCAATACTTGGCTGTCATTCAAAGATCTTATTAGTGGCCTGTATAGAGCTGAACCCAGGTGAATCTTGGAATTATAAAATCTTAGAGAGAGGAGAAATGAAAGTTCTACTCACTTTGCAGTGTTCCCTCCTCATCAATAATTTTAGATCATGCCCCTGGCTCATTTACCCCCTGTGGCCTTGGGTAAGTAAGCCTCTTTGTGCCTCAGTTTCCTCACCTATGAATTAGGAGGAATAACAGTGCCTATTTCATAAAGTTTTTGTGAGGCTTAAATGCGCGAATCCGTTCAAAGGACTCAACAAATCACACTTCTGTTACTTTTAGCATCAGCACCCACATAAACCACTACAGCACGTTGTAGCCAGTTAACACAGCACAGAAACTTTTTTTCCCTTCCCATTTCAGCCAGATTCGCCAGCAGTGCTGGTTGACCTTTATATAGGCTTCATATTGAGGAGTACAGAGCTGGCTGCAGGCGTGTTTTCAGAATTTTAGCATCCTCAAACTGTGAGAGATGAACATGCCCACCATAGTGGTTTCAGATTCTTTTCTTGTTCCGCCTCTGAGACTCAGTCAGCCTTGGGATCTAATCTCGCCATTCTTTGTGTGTTGTGCAAGGAGTATGTTTGAAACTGAACACTCTTTCCCAATCCACGGGTAAAGTCCAATCCAGGTCACAGCTTTAGAGCAGAGCGTTGAATCCGGTATCCTAATAAATGATTATTCTTTAACTGAGCTGAGGATCTTACACAAAGGCTATTTCTAAGAAACTCTGACCTACGGTGCCAAATACATGGAGGCCTCGCTCGTCTACAAGCTCCTGGGGCAGGCCACTGGTCAAAGGAAAGACAGCATACAGGAGTAGGCAGGTGCATGGCAGAGAAGCCCTGCCTGTGTGTCAGCAACCCCATTTGAGCCAATGGCCAGCTCCAGTTGGCTCTGGAGGCAGCATTGCAAATAGAGGCACCCGGTCTCCATGGGGATGTTCTCAGCTCCTTTCTGTAGGACATATTGAAGGATGCCACATGAACCCATCTGTTAGAGCCACTCAGTGGAAAGTTAGTGCCTAAAATGTAGTTTGCAGTAAGCAAATGTTAAAGCTTTCCAGTTTGACTCAAAAGTGCCAGGGGTGGTATTTGATTAAATAAACTCAATGGCTTAAGTACTTAAATTGGATTTGAGACGTGCATTATAAATGTCACTGGCAAAGCATTTTCCCAGACATTCATTTAGTATGTCCATTCCCCAGCCTTTGGTTATGCCCTGAAGAGACTGTATTTTGACCCGGCAGAAGTTAAAATGTGCTTAATGTTGAGCGACCAAACCCCTTCTGTTGTCCATGGCCTAACTGTTTCTGAAAATTGTCAATGCCGCAGGCAACAATCATGTCGGGGAGCACGGTGAGTTTGAATCACGAGGCCCCAACACCCCGCAGTCAGCTGGGGCGGCAGGCCAGCTTCCAGGAACGCAGCACCTCGCGGCCGCACTATAGCCAGACAACTCGGAGCAACACCCTGCCCTCCGAGGTGGGCAGGAAGTCCGTGCCCCTGAGAAAAATGAAACAGGAAATAAAGGAGATGATGTCCCCAACTCCGGTGGAGCTGCACAAGGTCAGGAAGCTTTCTTCTCTTTCCTTAGGGTCCCAGTTAGGAGCCATTTGTCACAGCGTGGGCGTCCTGATGCAATTGTGACAATGACATTCTCCTGTGGGCTCAGCCAGGGCAAGAAGACCAGAGCTTAAAGGCAGGTCATCGTCAGAGACTTTGTTCTCGAAACATGATCTTTGGGAGGGTATCCTGTAAAATGGGGATAGTTGGCTTTCAAGCAATGATTTTATCAAAAATGTATTGATGGATAAAATCTTCTTACAAAAGTTTGAGACTCCAGTGTCACATGGAGTTTTGATGAGTCTGTCTGTGACTCCAGCCTCATTGGAAGCCGAGACGGGTTTTCTAAATGTCGAATGTCTAAAGAGGGGTTGCAGATGTACTGTGGGGAGGCTGAATCCTTCATTGCAGACTTATCAGCAGGCGGCCATACTACTCAGGGGACAGGGAGTTCTCTTCAAGATGTCATTTTGGCGTCTTGGGTCAGGAGAGGAAAGGCCTGGCTGTGTTCCGTCTCTGCTACATGTTTGCCTCCCTTTACATCATGGAAGAAGACGCATGATTGCCGCAGAACTGAACTGAGTTGTTGCCAAACTTTAAAGAAGGCATGTGTGACAGTGTCTGCGGGACCAGAGCCACGGAGAGCTGTGGTGGGGAGGCGTCTCGGTTTTTTTTGTAGAACTAATGCTTTATTTTTTTTGTTAATATCTAAGGATGTAAAGACAGTAACAATTTCACCTTACTTTTCTTAAGAACCAAGACGCTCTCTGTAGTGAATAAGCTATTAGCTAGAAACTAGTTGTCTTCCCCACAAGAGCAAATGTCAGGCTAAGAGGGGGTAACAGGCCAGCTGCTCCCTTTTTCCTCTAAAGACTTCAGTCTCCCTGACGACCTATTAAAACTAGCTATTTATTTTGCAGCTGACAAAGGGTATGGTGAAAGAACGAATAGGAGGGGAATTTGAGTCCTGAACTTTGTGTTCCAATCCTAGGTTCATGCTTTTTTTTTACAATTTTCTTTTTTTTAAGGTATGGTTCTTTGTGTGTGTGGTGAGGAAGATTGGCCCTGGGCTAACATCTGTTGCCAATCTTACTCTTTCTTTTTCCTCCCCAAAGCCCCAGTTCATAGTTGTATATCCTAGTTGCAGGTCATTCTAATTCTTCTATGCAGGATGCCGCCACAGCATGGCTTGATGAGTGGTGTGTAGGTCCACACCCAGGATCTGAACTAGTGAACCCTGGACAGCCAAAGCAGAGCACAAGAACTCAACTACTGGCCACAGGGCCAGCACCCCTAGGTTCATTCTTTCACTACTCATTCATTCACTCAATACCTGTACTGTGCATTCATTCATTTAAATGTGTTGTGAATCCCCAAGGAGCACATAGTGTAAAGGGAAGACAGTCTGGAAAACAGTGCGGAGGGAGTGGGATAAGCACAATGAGAGACGCAAGCCTAGACTGCCTTGGGGGACAGAGGTTGGACCGTAACCACTCTAGAGGAGACAGGAAAGGCTTCCTCGAAGTAGGTGTTGACTCTGCAGGAAGTGGAGGGTGGGAGCGCATTCTAAGCACAGAAAGAAGCGTGGTCAAAGTCGTGGCATACTGAGGGAACGCAGATATTCCAACATGACCAAAGCCTTGAGTGGAGCCTTGTGCATTGGAAGAAATTACAGACCTACAGAAAAGCAAAGAAATTTCTGACATTCTGGGTGGGGACACATGCCACAGGTCGGCTTGTTTATCAGTTACCCTGAATTCGTGTGTCTGTTTGGTAAACACCAGCCTTCCCCACCTGTCACACATCCTAATATGCTAATTGACAAACAGTGTAAGGACTCCCACGGTGAATACATTGCAGAAGCTGCATGGTCACTGCTCTCTCTACTGTACCGAGGAGAGGGCTGGCCCTCCCGACTCCTCAGGTGTCCAGGACACTGCCATCCCCTCTTCTGTAAATTCTCCTGGCCACACAGAGAAGAGTGTGCTTGATCACCCACCCTCCTCAGCCCCAAAGGGAAAGGATGCCAACATGGATTGAGTGCTTTCTCTGTTCTATATTCTTTACATTTCCAGCCGACACAGTAGCCCTTCTTAGCAGGTATTTATTATCCCCGTCTACAGGATAGGGAAATAGCAAGTATGAAATAGAGTCATTTTTCCTTCTTGAGTGAAGCAGGCTCCTCAAAGGAAGATTATTGATAGCTCAGCCTACAAAAGACATGCATCCCCATCCCTCCTGCACTGAGAGCATCTAGCAAAGATAATGACGGTGAAGTGGGTGTGCAAGTTGGTACAGCCAAGGATTACAAAAAATGACTGTGCTGAAAATAGAGCTTATTTAAAAAAAAAAAAAAAGGCATCATCCACTTACCAGCACAATGAGCGACAGTGGATAGACTGGTTGGAACATTTGTGTGGCAGTGGGTGAACCTGGTGGCCACAGGACCACAGACATGGATGGGCCAGCTGGACCTACCACGTGGGATACTGCCTTCTTCCTTCACATCAGTCGTTCCCCTCAATGCTGGCTATAAGTGCATCTCCCTCATAGCTTCATTCTTCTTCTGAATTGATCTAAACAAAATTATATTCTAAAAAGGAAGCGGTGTCCTGGGCATTGTAAGATACCTCACGTGATCTAGTTAAGTGAAACTGCAGCAGAGGGGCTGACTGTGGAATTCTTGGCATGGTTATGTTCACACCTCGGGCATCTTTTCCTTGTTAAGTGAATTCATTGACTCTGGTAGGCCATCCACGTTTGTGGTTAAATACACTCTCCAGTTCTGAAGTGCTTGAGAGAAGAAATGGCTGAGAGCAAAGACTGGTCATTGTGCTTGTGTCTCACATGCTCGTGCCTTTTGAACACTGGAAGATTACCTGACACCATGAAAGAGCACAGTGACTTGTTGATGGGGTTGTTATCCTCCCTTTGGGGTGCTGCTAGCCTGGACTAAAGCTTTGTAAAAATTAGGAAAAGGCAGTCTTTTGGGTGGTGGCATCGAGAGGGGGCCAGTGAAATAGAAAAAATCCCTTTTTCCAGTTGAAGATAACCTCAAGCCAGAATGCACCGCCTGGAAGTGGAATGAGGGCTGGTTTTCAGACCCCAGAGCCCTGTATATTTTCATCTAGAAACTGGATCAAGAGGATGTGAACGAAGGGCCAACATCCATCCCCATTCCTGGGGAGAAAACATACAGAGCAAAAGAAGCTCCATCTCATGTTGATGGGTTCCTAACATCATCCTCATCCAGAAAGAATGAAGGGCAGGCTTCTCTTCCGGTCTCTTGGGTTCCAGTTTCCTCTCTGATGTTTGCCCCTCGTTTTCCACCTGGTCCTCATGTCACTCCTTCCCTTCCTTCAGGCCTTCAGAATCCCCGAGCGCAGGTCAGAGTCGAAATGGTTTCTGTTCTTTTCACGTCATCTGCTGTGTCAGAGGCTCTACTGGGTCCTGGCGGGTCTTCCTTCGAGTTGTCCCCATTCATTCCTGAACACAAAGAGCTCGTTGTCCTTCCTGACACTTGACAACAGACACAGAAATGCAGTCTTACTTCCTTTATCGGCTGTGCAGATGGGGAGGAAGTTGGGCTGGAGTGAGGACTTGGTACATAGTTGGGAGTGGTGGGGTCAGCGAGGGGGTCACTGGGAAGTGATACTCATGTCCCGTTAGGCCACTGCCTCTCAGACTTTCTGGGCTGAGTCACACAGTTGGAAATACACTTTACCTCACAATTCACTACACACATACACCCACACTCATATATATGAGTGAATCCAGAAGTTGTACACTAAGATTTTCTGTTTTTTGTTTGTTTCTTTTCAAATGTGATCACATTAAGCTGATTCTGAGACTTATTAATGGGGCTCAACCAAAAGTTTGTGGACCACAGCCTCAGATAATTTGGTGCATGAACCTCTGAGGACCTTTACCATGATGACTCGGGGTGCTTGTTAAAATGCAGGTTCCTAACCCCACCCAGACTTAGCTGGACAGCATTTTCCAGCCAAGAATCTACATTTTAGTGACCTCTTCCGTGGATTCTTTTGTGCCCTAAAGATTGCGAATCGCTCCCGTAGGTTTTGCTAATGGAAGGTGATTCTTCTGTTTCAGTGGAATCATAGGCCACAGCTGGGTGGTAAGGTGGGCAGGCGGTCGCACGGTTGGCCCTGGAGCTTGGGGGTTTCCTCTCTCAAATGAGTTCTGGTTTGTAGTCTAGCTGAGCAGAGATGCTTTCTTTGCAGATAAGGAGCCAAGGATCTTAGCTACAGTTCATTAATAACCCTCTTTCCCTTCTGAAGCTTAAATATCCTTTGGCGTCCACTTCATCTGTTTCTGAGATGAGTTCTAGTTTCACCTCTTTACCCTCTTTAAGGCAAAAAAAAAAAAAAAAAAATTCAGTAGAGTAGAAAGTTCCCCACATTCAGAGCATTTGGACTTTTCTCTTTTTAATCATATCAACATTTCCTTTTGCTCTATCATTTGTGCTTTTCAATAAAATTATATTCCTTAATCCTGTGCAGCTATGTTTATTGATCTTTTTACAGAAATGTTTTTAAAATAATTTTCCAGCATCAGCTTTGATTCACGGCTGCTGGTGGCATGACCCTCAAACACTGGAGTCACTCACGAGGAGCCCCCTTAGTTCTTGAAGCTGCGTTTGCTGCCATCAACTTCTCCCCCAACCAAGTTCACTTTGCATTTTCAATGGATGTGAGTGTTTTGAGAGGGGACCTTTGTCTTCTTGATATGATAAAGGTGTTTTACTCCCTGGAAGGAGTGTCATTTTTGTGTTTCATGACAGCTTCTTTTATAGTATTCTCCCTGAGTCAAGAACAGGCTCGACCCCAGGAGGAAATATGAAATGAAATACGTGTCTTCTTCAGACACTTGCCTCTTTCTTCCCCAGATCCTCAGAGTCGGCACTCGAGATCAAACGAGTTCTCACACCGGGCCTAGAGCTTCTCCAAAGAGCCAGTGTAGAATTCTCTTACTGTGGAGGTTGC